AAGGGTATTTATTTTCTATGAATTGGTCGCAGTTGCACGAAGATAAAGTGGTGCCATCAACAATCATTCCCATACCACTTATTGCGTATCTATACTCTGTCATGACTTTGTTTATAATATCCTTTAGTAAAACGTACAGTATATTCTCATCTATCACCAAGTGAGCCGCATTGTAACCAAAATTGAACTGCAAATCAAAACTTATGCTGTCTGTTTTAAGTAGTTGAGCCAGTTCCAAAAGAGTCACTTCTTTTCCCCCAAACTTAAGTTTAAAGACTCCGAAGTATCCTTCTATCGCATTTTAAGTTGTTCTGTTTGAAATACACTCAGTGACGCTTGGTCTCCAGCAATCCATCACATTAAGTAAACCTTGAGTTAATCGAAATTTATTATTAGTACGGTCTTCCTTCTTTTCGTTTTTATTGGCTATTTTTGATTCATTAATAATTTCAAATAGTATTTGTCTATAATTTAATATAACGTTATCACTTCTTTCAATTCTTTCATTTTGATCAGTACTGAGATCCGAGCCACTCATTGTCATTAACGTTTTTACAAAGTCCGTTTCTGATACCGTTTAATCGATCATTTAGTACCACATATGAACAATATTTGACCTTTCACCAAAGGCAACGATAAGATCTCTTGCTATATGCCTATGACAAAAAACAAAATTGATTCCAGAGAAAACAGAGGTGAGTGCAAAAATCTGTGACGTGCACCTATCACACACAGCCAAATTCTAATTTTTAAATTTGGAAACAAATCCGAACAAGTTTAAAAACGAATCAGTTGTATTATCTTTTAAAATATTATAAAATATAATATGTGTTTTATTCTTATCGTCTAATGACACTGCAACTATCAAAGGCAAATTAAATACATTAGTTAAAGCTGTATCATCTATAAACATTCTATTTGAATAAATAGTTGAAATTTGATTGACGTTGAAAGCGAAAAAAATACAAATTGTCTAGAACCATTTTTGATTCTATGAGTTGAAAAATGGTTGGTTTTTTAGGCATACAAAAATAGTTGTTGTGTTTGATCGGGTGAATATTTATTTACAAAGATAAAATGAGACGTCGAACTACTGATAATTTGACTTCAAGATTCATTGCAGTCACTATTTGTGCTGGGGAATAATGTTT